ATTTTAATAACATATATTTGTATAGGTTTGTTAGAACCGTAACCATGTTGTGACAGTATGTCATGAGACTGTGCTGGAGTGTATCATTACGTACAGTATTGAAATATTTTTTGTGGGTTTCCTCGTTCCACTGCCAGGGTGGCAGGTGTCCTTTGTCGCCCCCTGGTGGTAAAACTGATCCTAGCTCCACCACATGTTTACATCAGTAATTACCCTTGCAGTGCTCATCAGCCATTTGTTCAACAATAAAAGTTGAAAAAATGGCTTTTACATTTGTCCCAAAGAAACAAACAAATGCACAGGAAGAGCGTATGTAAAGAGCCAGAGGAATAAAATAGAAAAGTTGCAAGAATAAACAGTGTATTTGCACTTGGGACGGTTTGTGTCTCACTAACCTGATAGGTGAGAGTTTCAGGCTGCAGAAATGTTGGTCTGTTAACAAAGGCTGCATTCCATTTAGAGTTCTGGTTTTGCACACATTATACCAAACCACATGCACAGATGCAGACATGGAATGCAGCCCTTTTTAACAAATTGCTCTGATTTTTATTTTTTATTTTTTTACTTGTTTAGGTCAAAATATCCGGACTATCAGTTACCATTGAAGTATTACTTTACACCTCTACTTCTAAGGGTAATTTTTCCTTTTTTTAATCATGTTAACTACATACACACTGGAAAAGCAAAATCTTACCAAGTATTGTTGTCTGGTTTCTAGTGTAAATATCTCACTACACTGGAAATAAGACAAAACAAAAAACCTTACAAGTAACTTTTTAGCAAGATACTGGCAGATTTTCACTTGTAAAATGGGGAAATGTCTTGTTTTAAGTGAAATAATCTGCCAGTGGAACCAGTACTTTTTAAAATCAATATTAAGGAATTGTTGACATAAAACAAGCTCCTATGTCTTGATGAAAATGTAACTATAAGTTTGTTTAGTCTTATTTCAAGTGTACTAAGATACTGGAACTAGAAACTAGACAAAAAATACTTGGTAAGATTTAGTGTTTTTTATGTACTGGTCAAAGCAAATAACCGTCTTTATCAACTTATGTGACATTTAAAAAAGAGTAGAAAGAAGATTTTATTTACAATTCAATAGTTACATTAATAAAATAAATGTTTCATGAAGGTCTTGTACTTTTCTACCCACTTTTAGACACTCACTGAAATCCTTTAAAACACAACAACCAACCAAGACAACTGAGGACAAAATTAGAGTCAGATCTGAAATAATGATCCACAACAGACAGAAAGTGTCCGAAAGTTGTGACGTAAATACCAACGTTACATTTCATTGTTCCGTTTGTCGGGAAGAAACTGGAGAGTTCGAATGCTGACACACTCAGCAGACGGACATCACTCTGACAGGATATGGCATGCATTCATTCTGCTGGTTTTAGTGCCTTTGTTTTGTGCTCCACAAACAGAAAGTGAGTCAAACTGTGCAGCAAATGGTGAGTCACTGAGGTGTATTTTTACTCAAAGAGAGAGAGAAGAACGACAGGTGAAAAGTGTTGCTTTTGTGTGTGTGTGACGAGAACAACAGGAGCGATGCAGGAGTGTCGGATAGATGAACTACAGCTGAACAAATAATTTAAAATCAGATTAAACTCAGTCATAAAAGGAGGGAAAAAAATAAATTACTACGTCGCGTTTTCATATTTATTTGGTTTGCCTTCAGTAGGCTTTGCACCAACCTTAACAACATATTTGAACATTTTATGTTAAAATAATATGTCTGTGTTCACTGAAGAGAAAACAGAACCTTTTGTAATAATCTTGTATTAATGGTGACACAATTTTTCATTTAGAAATCTTGTACTGTCCCAGATAAAAGATTCTGGATTTTTTCTTGAGATGAGATTTACATCCATGTTTCACAAATCATTAAACTAATGCTGAAGTGATTAAAGGGCTATTTCAGGTGTAAAACCTGGACTAAATCCAGATTATTATTCAAGTCTCCAGTTTGTGACTTGTGATACATTAAAATATGATTAAAAATTCTTTATCTGCAATCTAAACCACAACCGGTTTAAAAACCTTGTCTGAAAAACAGGAAACCATCATTTTAAACATCTGCGAGCTTTCTGCAGAGCGTGATGTTTTTGTCCTCATGTGGAAATGCACTGAAGAGGCAGGATTTATTTTATAAATCTACTGTGAAAGAGGAACAGAGTGCAGACATGCAGAAAGGTAAAGTCCCCAGTCTGAAGAATCACAGGAGCTGCTCTTACCTGAATCCACCTACAAATTAGTCTGTGAAGTGAAAGATGAAGTCAGATGAATCACATGGGTGTCCATGTTGACTGTGACATTTCTTGTTGAAATATATGATAACTTAGTAGTTTTTTATAAGAACAAAAACAGAAAGTTGTACAATCTATTTCAGTTAAAGTTCTTTTACTTTGTTTAGACACTTTTGTCTTTATCAAATTCACTGATAAATTCATACTGGATTGGTTGCAGAATGATTCTGTTCCGTTCCAGTGTTTAATTCATGTCTTATTAAATAAACCTGGAGGTAAATGTGGTATTTTTGTGTTCCAACAGACCTCAAAGTCAGCGTCAGAGAGGTAGATCTCCAGGCGGAGCGGGTCGACTCCCTCTGGCAGTGGCCGGGCCTGCAGCTGAGCCAGAGGGTAAATGTTCTGACAGAGTCGGGCCAACACGTCCTCCACCAGGATGATCTGGTTGCACACCTCCGCCTCCTGTAAGCAACAACGGGAAAGAAGTCAGAGAAACAGCCAATAAAACCTGGAAAAAAAAATTAATCCGCAGTTACTTTGATACTTTCAAATAAAATGGTCACCAATCCCTGTTAAAGGGGATCTATTATACAAAATTCACTTTCTGAATACTTTTATGCTTCCATTTGGGTCTCAACAGATCTATCCTAATCTGTTCAAGGAAGCGCAATAGGTCACCTTTAAGCGTTTTTATGTAAAAGGAATAAAGTTAAAGGGGTATGAACACTTTAACACGGCACCGTAAAGAGTCTGGTCATAGAAAATGATTGTACATGTTTTTTTTAGTCTTACTCTCTCTGTGATTTCAGCCACGTCCTCCCTGTGCTCCCAGCTGGGGAACATGTTAGTGAAAGTGAGCGGCTCCAGACCTGCGTGGATCAAATACGACTTCTGAGGCTTCTTCTTGTTCTTCTCTGCAGGAAAAAAACATCAGAAGTTAACAGAAGAAAAAAATGTACTTTGCAAAAATCAAATGATCTACCGAGACTGAAATCAATCAAATTAAGAAGGAAAACATCACAGCACAATCGTCCTGCACAGGTCACACCTGCATGCAGTCGTAGGCGAAGGCTCCTTTCTGCTCACCTTTGCAGTACTGCAGAACGGTCTCCATCGCACACTTCCTGTCTGCGTCCCAGCGGATGCGGGCCGAGCCGGTGCTCTCGCTGTCCTGAGGCCACCAGCCCTGCCACAGGTAGACCTCGTGGAAGTTATCCACCAGAAACAGAGCTTTGCAGGAAAGACAAAAATAGTTATGACAGAAAGTGAGGATTTGTAACATTCCTGTAAATTAAACAAGTTCACTGCTTCTCAACTCAGCAAAAAGAGAAATGAAATGGATTAAATCACAAAAGCTACTTTTAAAAATGCATAAATGAGGAAAAAATAAACCAAAAGGTTTCAGAACTTAAAACAATTCTGATATGATACTCTAATGTTCAGATGATGTAAAATAAAGGATTCCTGCAGGCCGTGTCCTGGTCTCACCAGGCTGCGGAGCGTTGTACAGGTCTTCCTGCAGGAACGGCAGCGAGCTGACCAGCTCTGGAGCTTTGGACGGATGGAAGAACTCGGACGCTACGAAGTCTCCAGATGTGCTGCTCAGCTGGAAGAGCCGTGGAGTGAAGTTGAATTTACCCGGATCTGATGACAAAAAAGGTTTTCGATACATCTTTTAAAAAGAAAACTTAAACTTTTTTTTACCTGCGTGACATCAGCAGTCAAACTGCACAAACTGTCAATATTTAATTGATCTAAAACATTAAACTCCTGCGTACCTTGGAGCATGCAGTCATAAGCCTTCCTGTCTTTCCTCCCCAGCGCCTCCCAGAATCCCGGAGGCTCCACTCCTTCGTCACACTCATGGATGGTCACTTTGCAGCTGCTATGAAGGCCCGCTTCCAGAGGACACCTGGCAAACAGAAAAATATGAACTGGATTTAACAAAAGGCTGTGGATTTTTACTGAGTGAACAACTAAACTTTTCAAAAGGCATTAAAAAGAAGAAGATCTCCTTACTGTTCCTTGATTTTAAGCGCAGCTGTGTTTCCAACGCTGCGAGTGTGCAGCTGAGACTTGCATCCATGCCACAGGTAGATGAGGGCTTTATTAATGTTGAGCAGGATCATGGAGGCTCTGGAGCGCAGACTGCTGCAGTGACACACCACCTCCAGCAGGTGGCCCTCCACCGGCACCTCACCGCGCACACAGTACAGACGCCACTCGCCTGGATAGAAATTTGACATAATCAGAGGTCAGTGGAGTTCTCAAAAATTATATTCAAATAAGTTTAACTCTACTTCAACATATTTTACTCAAGTAAAAGTAAAAAAGTATTTAATAAAATACAGAGTAAGTGATCAAAACATCAATCATTTAGCATTTAAAACTTACGTCAACAAATGTATGAATAAAATATACAGACGCCAAACAAAAGCTTACTCTGAGTGTTCTCCTCCTCCTCCTCCCTCTTGCCAGCATGGATGATCATCCCTCCATTAAAGCACTGCAGGAAACATGGCGGCTCCTTTCCCTGCTGCACCTGGACCTGAAATACACAGGAGTTGAACTCAGAATTGATTTGGATCAAACACAGAGCCCATGTCGACCCTACGGCTCTACCTGAGCTCCTCTCTCCTCGCCCAGCTCCACCGTCATCAGCGCCGATGTTCCCTTCTCGCTGACGGTCAAGTTCCTGCCCTGCCAGAAGAAGTAGCAGCATTTCTCCTTCCCTGGCCCGCTGCTCCTCGCTTCGGGGTTCTGCCTTCGACCCACTGGGACACATTTGAAAAACATGTCAACCATACTTGCTGATTGAAAGCTACAAAAAGTAACGTTTACTAAAACTATATCAGTTTTTTTGTTCAGTATCTAATGCAAGTATCTTGGTACACTTGAAGTAAGGCAAAACTAATTTACAAGTAACTTTTTAGCAAGACACAGGAGCTTGTTTTAAGTCAATAGTTCCTAAATATTGATAAATAAGTACTAGTTCTGCTGGCATATTATTTCATTACTTTGTCATATCTTGTTATAAGTGTAATAATTGTATTAAAGATTTACTGACTTAAGACAAGCTCCTATATCTTGCAAGTTAATTTTATTTCATCTGTACTAAGATATTTGCACAAGAAACTCGACCAAAAATACTTGGTAACATTTTGTGTTTTTGCAATGCAGAAACAACCAATCAGAGCCAGGAGGAGGGTCTTAATGCTGTCAATCAAGCTCATGTACACACTGCGCACAAACTCCGCTTTGCTCTCTGATTCCCCACACAGATCCTGGTTTGAAATTTCAGGAAAACAAATGTTTTTTTCTGTAACAGTAACTTGTTTCTCTGCCATTAGCACATTTAGCAGAATGTACAAGAGATTGACCGACAGCACCAAGACCCTCCTCCTGGCTCTGATTGGTTGTTTTTGACTAGAAACTACATTTCTTCAGGTGGCAATAGTAGCACTATTAGATAGAGGAGCTTGATTTTTTCCACAGATTATCTGTCTCATAGAAAACTGTCAGGATCAGGACATGGTGAAAGTTTTAACAAATATGTGAAAAACAGATTGCAAAAGTTAAATACTACAGCTTTGAGAATAATTCACAGTGTTGCTTTAACTGCAGAGACTGACCTGAGGTGCTAACCATGAACTTCCACTTGACCACATAGGCGTCCCCCTCATGGAACTGGCCGATGCTCTGCCGCGGCAGACGACTGTAGTCAAACTCCAGGATGTGCCACACGTCCACAGAGGCAGTGCTGATCTCCTGCAGCCTCATGAGGTCCTCTGACTCCACGGGGCCGTAGCCCCGGCCCACGTTCACCCCGTCCAGAATGGTGCTGATAGGCGTCTGGAGGAGAGGCAGCATCAGGGACGTGTCATAAGGTCGACACTCACGTCCAGGAGCCTCCTGACAGGAAGAAAACAAGGAGAAATTAACAATTCAGAGACGTTATCAAGAAGAAAACTGGTGTTTTCTAAAGCGTCTAGGTCAGAGGTCAGCAATCTGCACCTTTTGAGTATTTCCACAGTGACTCTTAATAACTTTGGCAATCATGTATCATGAAACATTTGCCGCAATAAAGTTTTTTGGGAACACTTTATTTGAAAGGTGTCCATAAGATGCACATGACAATGTCATAAACATGGCATAACATTTTTCAAGACTGTATTTGGTAAAGTCGACACTTTTAATGCAGTTTAATACAAGTTTTAGTTTCACTTTACATTAAAAATGTCATTGTTTACCATTAATGTAAACTTGACACTTTTAAAGGACTGAGAATGCAACTTTTAATGCAATCCTGCATTAAGTGTCATTATTTACCAAATGACATTTCATGACAACAGTCATAAACATTCATGAAAACTCCTTCATGTTCATGACAAATGTTATCTCATGTTTATGGCAGTGTCATGTCCGTCTTATGCACAACCCTTCAAATAAAGTATTACCTGTTTTTTAGCTGGACTGAGGGGAAAATTGGTCTTTTTAATATACAGATTAAGTCTTTAATTCTTGTCAGACTGCTTCTGGGAACATCTGCTTAGAGTAAACGGCACAGTTAAGACAACAGATAAAAACGTAACGAACCTTCTGCTCGGTTACAAACTCAACTCCTTCTTTCAGCGTTGGCGACTTCACTTCTGTCCAGTCCGTGAACTTTTCTTTGAACAAGATGGTTTCATTGTGCTCAGTGAGTCTGCCAAAGATGGCCCAGTCAGGACGACCCTGGCCCTTCCTGTGGACCAAAAACACAGCAGACATGAAAAACTTCAATCACACACTTACCTCAGACAAAAGACGACAACAAACTACAAAAACAAGCAGCTGTGAAAGGGGTCGAAGCCCTCCTTATCAAGTGCAGCCTGAGTGGAACATGTCCTGGAACCTGCAACTTTTGTCAGATATAACATTTTTGTTATACGATTAATCATCAGAATAATCAATTAGTTGCAGCCCTAATTTGTAGTGTAAGTTTTATACTGAAGCTTATGAAAAAAGCGTAAGGAGCACACAAGGTTCCTAGCATATCTGCATGCTAGACGTGTTGCAGCCTTAATTAGCACCCGCTAACCTGGGGATGAGCGTGTTGCAGCCTCCGGGATCGAGAGGGTTGATGTCGCAGCAGGTGTAGTCAAACGTCCCGTTCCACAGGTGCTTGGCGAGCTGAAAGGCCACCTTCCTTTGTGGTAGGGTCACTTCTTTTCCGTGCCACACATACACCTCGCTGCCAAAGTCAAACACCAACACCTGCAGCTCACAGAGCGAACACAAAGCGATCCTGTAAACTAACCCTCTGCAGCTGCCGTGTGGTTGAATGACAGCAATGCAACCTGAAAGCAAACATTCACATGATCGTCTGCTGTTTACACTCTACTACACACATACGTCATGTAATTAAATCTGCAGAAAATAAAAAGCTAATTAAAAGATCCTTTAAAAACATTTTGCACGCAGAAAGTTCGATCCAACAATTTACTAAAACTCAGAAAGGTCTCAAAAGAAACGTAGATATAAATTATTTCAACCATGATTCATTCATGATCTGTAGTTAGGACACAACAGACTTAGAAATCCTTGTAAATGTTTTTATATTTAGTTACCAGTTTGAATTTTGTTCTAAAAGAGATGCAAGAAGAATTGACCTAGAATTCACATCTTTGACCAGAGGTTGCCAACTTTTATAAGTGAAGAATGTAAAAATGCATGTTAAAGCTTTTAGTTTTAGATATATAATTTTTTTATTTTCCATCAATTTCTGTTTTGTTTTTTTCCATTCTTATCCAGACCTGGATTTTATCACAAATCACTTCCACGCTTTGTAAAATTTCACCTTGATTTGCACCTTTTCTAGGGACAACTCTGCAGACTAAAACAGCAGAAATTTACCTTTAGTGTCTCTTATTCTGTCATAAACCAATAAAATTTATATTTGTCTTGTGTTAAATCATCTGTTCACCTCCTTGGGTGCAAGCAGGCAGGTGTGAGGAATCTTCCCCCACTCCTCATCATCAGGAACCAGTTTGTCGTCCACCAGTCTGAAGATGCAGTTGGTTTCCACAATGCCACTCTCAAAGCGCTCATCCTCCTCTGGTGGACCTGCCGCTATGGGACAATTAGAGATAAAATCAAAATAAAATGAGTAATCAAGTGATTTAAAAATAAACATTTGGTATTAATGCTTCTGCCTGAAGTCTTACATTTATAAGACATCTGTCCACCCAGGACTGTCCAGAACTGCTGCGCATCAGAACCCTGTGTGTTAACACCTTCATCGATGGTTTGCACCTGACTCGCCCTGCAGCCCATGTCCTTATGCGTCTGGATGAACGTGGCTAAGTCCGTTGCCTAGGCACAGACACAAACAAACCCCCCAAAAAACGTCAGAAGATGATGTGAGAAAGTCTTTCTGAACTTAAAAACAAACCAGATAAATACCAAAAGATGTGGGTGACTGTAGCTAAGCATAATGTGGTGAAAATGCCGTTGATCACCAGGAAAAAAGGAAAAAAAATAAATGAAAGTGTTCATAAGAGGGAATGAATAAAGTGGATCTACGTTCATCAGCTGATGCTCAGCTCTGATGTTTTTTCCCCATGGCCGTTCCTATTAGTAATTAAACCCGACTGCAATCAGATTTCATAATCATAATTTTCAGCTATTGTTTACGTCCAGATTTACCACGTCTGCCCTTTTCTGGTGCAGAATTATGATGCATGTCTCACATCAATGACATAACAGCTGAATAAAATGCGACATGACTGTTCAGACTGCAGATGCTTTGAAAACAATCGAATATGTTGTCGAATTAGCAAAGACTGGACTTTTTTTGGGTAAAAAGATCGGGTCACATTTGTTTACTGTTTGAATGCAGTCAAAGTGTCAATGTGAAGAATGGAATGAAAATGAGAGGCACAATCACTGATTAATAATTTTTGTTTAAATATGAGAATTGCAGCAATACTTCCGACCAACCAAGCAGAGCAACAATACTCACTTTAGCTTTCTCAATCACATTTGAGAACTCTCCTATCCAGACAAAGCAGTGCTCTGGTGTGACAAGCACGAAACTGTCCCCACTGTTCAACGAAGAGGCTCTGGGCTCCACTAATCTGGTCTGAACATGGCGACGACCTGCAGAAGACACAATCGACATTATCAAATAAATCTTTACACTTACAAAATGAATCCTGGAGTAATTTTAATCTCCTGATGTTCAAATATTGTTTTTTGGCAATAGTACATGTAATGGATTTAAAGTGTAGCAGGTAGAGACGAAAGTTACAGTTAATGAGTTCATCTAAAGTTGATTGATCTTGTATTAATTGATACAAACGTTTTCTTGTGTATTGAAAGGGCTGACTATGTTTTAAATAACATAAAGTGCAAACGTTTTTCATAATATGCTGAATAAAGAAAAAACATTAAATTTTAACACTGCATCAGAAGTATTAAATACGCAGAATAAACTGAAAATTTTGGTTTTCTCACATGACTAAGCTGCATGAAGTTCACTACCTCACGACAGCCCTCAAAAATCGTGTTTTTTGCTGTCGTCACATCCTCGCCTTCGTAGCAAATCAGTAATTTCTAGTTAAGAAGTTGACCCCGTTTCGTCATGCAAGCGCGGCTGAAGGTGAAACGTAAGGTTTATTTTTCAAAACAGAACGCATAAAGTGCATTTTGCGTCCCACACCGGACCCCGTTTGTTTTTTTTTCCCTTTTCAGTTCCGTTATGGCCGCCATCTTTAATTCTGTACCAAAGGGCTTCGCTTAAGGCTGACTAGCGGCGCCCTCTGCTGGATGGCGGTCAAACTGCAACACTAATGAAGGTCTGGTGGATGTTAATAGTTCATAGTTTTAGTCTAAAAAACTATTAATCGTCAGTTATCTTAGTCCTCAGTAGCACAAAATGTTTTGCAGGTAATCAGAGCTTTTACCTTTAACCTGGATCAGCATGAGGTTCTTGAACGGCACTGCGCTGTTGTTGGATGTCTGTTCTGAGATGTTGACGTTTCGCAGACTCACACTGCTGAAGTTTTCTTTGCTGGCAAGACCTGCCAGAGCCGCCTCGGAGTAATCTGAGTTTTTATTTGCTGAACGGATGGAAAAATGTGCTTTATTAAAATTAAAATCTACAAAGTGGTTCAATAAATTTAACAAGATCCCAAGTGTAAACACTGCTTTGAAAATGAGTCAGAGGTGTTTTTGTACTAATTTCTGGTGTTTTTAAAAAAGGCCTAGCTTTGTAAGCTTTCAAAATGCCTCACATATCCCACTGGGAGTTTTTTTTTTTTTTTTTTACCTCAAACAGCAAACACAGTGAGTCATTTCTAACTCTTTCTTCTTCCTAAACTCACAGATATACCATAAGGTGCTGTAATCCTTACACTCACTCTTCTCAGCCTTCATCCTCTTGCTCTCCAGCTGTGCCACATTCAGTCTCTCCTCTGTGTATTCGTGTCGAATGTCCTCTCTAGCTGCCAGCATTTTAAGAGGATTTCTTGAAGCTTGAACGTTCCTGGATGGTCGGACAGATCGCTTATGCTGCACCATGGCTGAGGCCAGCCTGCGTAGGAGGGAAAACAGCCACAGAACATGATGGAAAAGACCAAATGAGAATTAAAACACAAAATCTGACCAATGTTTTTATCTAATTTCTAGAGAAAATATCTTTGCACACTTGAAATAAGACAAAACTGACTTAGAAGTAACTTTTGAGCAAGATATATGAGCTTGTTTTATGTCAATAATTCCTTAATGTTGGAAAAAGTTATAGTTCCACTTGCAGCTTATTTTACTTATAAAAAGGGGAAAATGTCTTGTTATAGGTGAAATAATCTGCAAGTGCAACCAGTACTTTTTCAATAACATTAAGAAATAATTATTTCTCCTTAGTTTTGTGCAAAAAATACTGGGTGAGATTTTGTGGTTTGCAATGTGGTTGTTATTTTAATAAACATATTTTAAGACAGTTGTCTGTACTGGAATGAAAAGAAGTTTGTTTTGTTTTCATACGTTGGACCGTGAGAACCAAAGATGCTGTCAAAGTCTTCGCTGATCTCGATCCTGGTGGGCATGCGAGGAAATTCTGCAACGCGTTTGTAGAACTTGGAGAAAATCTCATCGTCCAGCTTCATCACCTCCTTCACCGCCTTCTCCGTCACTGTAATGGTGGTTTCCTGCAAACCTGCCACTGATGAAGACAGTCAACATTAGGACTTAATGTACATAATAGAAAACACACCTATAATAGATAGTAAATAAAAATAAGAGATTCGCTATCATAAATACTGTATTAATATTGCGTTTAGTTGCATACCTTTGCTATTAATTCGTCCCAAAAAGCTCTCCAGCTTGTCCAGCTTCTTATCTGACTCCATGTCTGGCCTGGCCTCAATTTCTGTAAATAAAACAATTATATTCTGACACAGCAGCGACCTCAGTGGAAGTGGATTGGTATCTTTTTAGCCTTTTCACAACTAAGACCTTCTAAAGCTAAAAGTGTTTGCGTATATAATCAGTATTATCTGGTTTTATACTTTAGCATATATTTTTATTTAATTTTCCTGCTGGTTGTTGTTTCTATGTGTTTTGGCTTCAATGTTTGCTCAGCTCTGATTGTTTTGTGGTTTTTAACTTTATTTTTTCACAGAATATTTAGTTTGAAAGATTTCAGGAGGTAGACGAGTAGTCTTGTTTATATATTTTTGCATAACAATTTTGCTTTTATCCAGCTGCTTGTTGTCTTTGTTTCAGATTTAACATTCTAAAAGGACAGAAATAAGGAGTCATATTTAGATTTCCAGGACATTGAGGATGAAATAGTAGTGATGAATCAGACTTTTCTCACCCTCCTGTGGTTTGTTGACAGCTGGAGTGCTGCTCTTGAGTTTGGTGGAAACTGGTGACAGAATGGGACTGATAACTGAGGAGGAGGCTGCCAGGCCTGTGGACACAGAGAAAATCACAACATCAGATTACATAACTGCTGGAAGACCGTGAAGAAGAGCGATTTGTTAACTAGGATTTGTTTTGATAGTCAGTCATGTTTGATTAGCAGATCTTATTACTTCATGCTTTGATGCCTATGCAACATCTTTGTTTTAAACACATTTAAAGCATTCAGATTCAAACACCTAGAATTAAATGTCTCCTGCCAAAGTAACTCTTATAAAATCAGGGAAGAAAACCTAAATGGTAACTATAAAAATCCATCTACATAGATATATATGTATTTTTAAGATTTTTAAATCTGCTCTTTATTGTGTCAGAAATTATTTTCCTCTCCAGAGCTGCAGAGTTTTGCACTGACCTTTCTTGACCATTCGAGCAGCAACTGTGTACTGAGTGGAGTCGTTGGCGGCTCCTTTGCCTTTTGTCTTCCAGGCATCCTCACGCGTTGAAATCATCTGTTTCCTCTCTTCGATGGTCATCTGGGCCTCGGTTTCTTCCCCAGCATTCTGCACAGAGATGAGATTTAAAACAAGGAAGCTCATTAGGTTGAAGTGCCTTAGCTTGTACAGAATGAAATAAACTCTGGATGCAGGAAATGTTCATCGTTTCAGATCCTTTCCAGTCATCCTGATGAAATCAGCACATAAATCAAACCCATGGAGTGGATAAAATCCTCTATTTACCACTGCTTATAAAATATAACCCTAAAGTCTTACATCATGTTCCACATAACTTCACTGTAACATCATGTCAGAGCTTTTACTTCCTCCCAACCAATTATTCATGAAGTGACAGCATCAACTCAAGCAGAAACGCAAAGATTAGATCAATCCAAGCATGCAAGGTGCATGATTATCCAGTCCTCTTCATTCTTTCAGAAACAACACTGCCTGCTATTCATGCTGCCGTTACGAACACTGCAAAAACACAACTTGCCAAGTATTTTTGGTCTACTTTAGCACACTTGAAGTAACTAAACTAACTTGAAAGTAACTTTTTTTTTAGCAAGAAAAGAGCTTGTTTTAAGTCAATAACTGCTTAATATTAATGCAAAAGTTTTAGTTCCACTAGTAGATTTTTCCCCTTAAAACATTTTCCCATGTTGTAATTGAAATAAACTGCCAGTGCAAGTAGTACAGTTTTTAATCAATATTAAGGATTTACTGGCTTAAAACGAGCTGCAATATCTTGCGGAAAAGTTACTTTTAAGTTAATTTTATCTAATTTCAAGTGTGCTAAGATATTTGCACTAAAAACTAAACAAATTCCTGTGTTTTTCCAGTGAATCCGTCCCACCACTACAAAGAAAATCTTTTGCTTGTCAAGCAAAGAAAGACAGGAGCCCACTTCATGCTGTCCATCAGCGCTAGTCCTTACCTGACCATGATGGTCAATATATTGGCACTTTTGGCCAAGAGAAATAGTAGGAGAAAAGGTTGAGGAGAAGACAGGCTCCTGAGGATGGAGAGATGGATTGAAAAGTGAAAAAGGAGGAAACGCAAAAACATACAAAAGTAATAAGGATGGAAGAGGACGAAGGTTGGATTTAAAGGAGAAAAAGTGTAAGTCAGAAACTAAGAACATGATGCAAAAAGTATAAACTGGAGGTTAGTTTACTTTACTCCAACTGGTAAACTGATATTAGTACTTATTTTAAATAATATGTTCCCTAAAACAGACGTTCTAATGCTGGAAACATCGCTGGTCTGAACAATAAGCCTGCACCCCTTACAAGTCCCTGAAAGGTGGCAACTTATTAGTTTTAATAGTCACTTTCTGTTATGACATGATTCCCAGTTATAGCTCTTTGTCTTTTCTCTAACAAGCACATTTGGTGTAGGATTTTATACATTTAGAGTTTTAAAAAACAAAGAAAAAGAGAGAGAAACAATTTCACTGTGACTATCTGCATGTGAATCAAGTTTTTTTATTTGAATAATATTTGGGTGGTATATATTAACGACCAAACGTGCTGGAACTCTGCTTGGGTTGCTAGGTGACAGGCTGGGCATTTCCGGCGGTTGCTAGGTAACAGCAAAGTATGACTGAACTGGCGTTTTTGAAATGTCTTATTTTCCAGACACCAAAAAACTTTAACTTATTGGAAAGAAAAGTTAACACCTGACTGTTTTTTTAAGCACTTGGGTTGTTTTTAAAGCAGTAGAGACCCAAATGAAAGTACAAAAATGTCATGAGTCCTTTTTTAAAGTTCACATGAAAAAAGATTGATGCACTTAAAAGGTGTGAATATTTTCATGCTGCACAGACTGATGCTGCCAACACCATGCTTAACAGTTGTTAGACCAGACATATCCTTTATTGTTGTTCAGTGGGTAAATCCAGGTGTACCAACAGCAAAGTCACAGGAAAATGAATGGAAACAAAAGACGGTGAGTCTGTAGTGTTCTTAAAGAATCACTCTGTCTCTTGTCATTGTGGTCAAACAGATAGTTTTCACTTCTACAAAAGATATTTGGTGTACCCATGTGGGCGGCTGCTAATTTCAGCCAAGCTTTAAGGTGTTGAATTTCGGAGAAGGGGTTCCTGTCTTTGCTGTTCACACTCCATTTTCTATTTGTATTTGTTCACCATTAGCAGTAGATTTAGCCAGCCACACAAACACAATGTGATTGGACGGCACAGTTACTGGTCCAAGCTGATTGGCTAAGAACTGGTGTGCTGCTGGCAGCGAGCCTTACCCAAAGCTGTTCAGAGCCAGACACTGCAGAATGGTCCTGAGCGACGCCTTCCTCCTGAAAGGGTTAAAACAGAGAAACAACTCAGCTGATGGAAACGGGGTGCGGGTGGGGAAGGGGGAGAAGTTGTTGCTAAAGAGTTTGCAACTAAGACAGGAGGGGGGACTGTCATGAAAGGCTGAAACAGGACGCTTCTTCCAACAGAATACTAATAGTGAAGCGGGTGAGAAGCCAGAAAAGAGGCTCTTTAAAAAGCCCCTATGGTCTGATATTGCCTCTACTCTATCTCCAAACTAGTCTGTAAATAGTTTTCTTTGCCATACTGGTTCGTAAAAATGTACTTAAACACCAAAGGTGCAAAACAAAATCATTTAGGAAAAGAAAAAAGGTTGAAAAAGTCACCATAAAAGGAAAAACGTGTGAAATAAAATCTAAAGTTACAATAGAATTATAATTATGAAAGGTGAACAGTAAAAACAGACCTTTAAAATAAAAAGAGAAATCTTAATTCTTTCTTTATCCTGAACCTATAGTCGATTTCTTTCATTTATAACAAAACAATCAGAGCAAAAAATGCAGACAATTTTTTCAACAATTCCCAGAAAATTAATTTATATATATATATATATATATATATATATATATATATATATATA